ATCAAGAGTACTTTTTCTTGTCGATGTTTTTAAGAGTCTGGACTCTAGATCCAATGTGTTTTTTTTTTCCAGTGTAGGCAAATAGTCAAATATTCTTACTTACATTGAAATTTTGATTTTCTATCTTAATTTTAGACAAAATAACTCGTTGCTCCTGTAAGAAATAATGCTCTGTAAAAATATGCAGCATACAATATTATTTTAAACGGGTTTAAGATCCCGAGTGCACATTTATCATAAAATTTTTAGTACGTCATAAAACATAGAATTTTTTAAATTTTAAAATTTAGATGTACTGGAGGGCATGTAGAAAGGAAGGAACGAGGAAAGTTCGCGAATTTGAAGAGTTATCCTCCCCAAAATATTGAAAACCCGTGAACTTCTCGCCATAAATTTAAAAAATTCCGTAAACTGTCAAAATTTGACTACCGGCCTAGGCATTTGATTAAATGCCTGATTTAACTACTCGCCTTCGACATATCTTTACGGGTCTCGGAATCGCACGAGTCTAGTTATTTGCAAACGTCATAAACATAATTCTTTTTATCTCCATTTTTTCGTGTGAAAATAAGAGGTATTTAAACTAAAGCTATGTAAATACTTGAGCAATAACCAGGTAATGGGATCATCCCATTTAGGACACCGTTGATGAGAGACTAGAAGTTATTCGCTGAGGTAATCGGTTCCCTGTATAGATACCGGTCTTTTTTTACTGTTCCTTATCATTTAAAAATAAATTAATCAGTTTAATTAAAATGATCATGGGAGGTTTCGGATACTATTTCAATTAGAAAATCCCGATAAGTTATCAACGAATGAAATGATGTCTTGGCACAGCCTACAGAGCCATATTGTTCTGGTTCGTAATATTGTGATTTTTTTCTTTATTTTATAGAGGATGCTGAATAAGTCAGAATTCTTTCATTTCGTTCCGTGTCATATCACAATCTACTTTCACTTTTCTTGGATGTCTTTGCCCTCATTTGGACTTTAGTCTATTAAGGACCGTTCAAGTATTAGGTATGTAGGACGTTGTAGCCGACTTTATGAACCCTCCCCCTCCCAGGCCCGCCACAAGGGGGGGGGATACTGGGTCCTTGGTACCGGGGCCCGGGCCCTGGAGGGGCCCGTGACGCAGGTGACAAACCACTACGAATTCATGTGTAACCCTTGTCTCGTAGGGAAAAGTGAAAAAATTACCCTAAAAATTCCGCAAAAGGTGAATAAAGTTTCAAAAACACGCTAGGGCACTATAAAATTTTTCCTACTTTTTTAGAGATTTTCAAGATTTTGAGTATATGTAGAATGATATTTTTAGTAACTGTGTTTCATTTTCTTCCGTTGTCGGATGCTAAGAGGCTCCTTTCTGGGCATCCTCGACTTCAATGGCTTAACTCCTTTGCCATAGACGTGCGAAAGGGGAGTCCAGGGGGGCCCGGCTCCCCATAGAATTGAAAATTATCATCTGCCCCCTCAAAAAAAAATTTATAGATGTTTTGAATGCAACAATTCGAAAGTTTTTGGTGCTGAAAGTAAACAAAAAGGCGTAATTATTCTGCAGAAATTGATGGAAAATCTCCATCATAAGAGCTTCATAATGCGTTCAAATAGATTTAAAATTTCAAAAATTTCCCGGGGGAGGCCCCCCGGACCCCCCCCCCCCCCCTGTGCTAGGGGCCCGGGCCAAAAAATTGGTACCAGGGCCCGAGATGGGATGTGGCGGGCCTGCCCCCTCCCCTCGTAAGGCGCCTCTCCTTCTGAATTAGTCAGGTTAGCTTGATTTCCTACCCAATGTTCCAGGAAATAACGGAAAAAGCTTGGAACGAAAAACAATTTTTACCGGGATCATCTTATTCTTTTTTAAAAATGGAAACGATGCGTAATACGAGGTTTGACCCCTCTCTCCTCGTAAAACCCCATAAGTCAAACTCAGGAACTTTTTCTCCCTCTTAAGTGGCTTACATATTACATGAATGTTGTCGGAATTGCAATATTTTTAGAACTCTGGTTTATTCATTTTTTAAGATTTATATTTATTTATTGTTTAATGTATTTATTACACAATGAACGGGGAAAAATAACTCAAAATACAACGAGACAGTTATTCTATACAACGCGGCAACAAATTGATACACTATGCATTACAAACTTTTTATCACAACAAAAAATTACAACTAATAAGTTTTCTAAGTCCGCCTCCTTGCAAAAAACGTAAAAAGTATATCAAATCCGGATATTTGTGCAGATCCACTGCAGATTTTAAAAAAAAGGAAATAATATTTAACTCACCTTTACGTTTGTTTGGTCGTTCAAATTCCGATCACGTTGTGCGTACTTCGCGTCGCACTATTGACCAAACGCAATTCTTGCGACCAAAAGAAAAAAACTGCAAATAATTAATTGAGCAAAAGTTCTACTATTAATTTGTTTCCTTAAATTCCATGGACAAAGCTTAAAAAAAAAACCACATGTGTGAAGGTTCAAAAAGTCGAGTGCCGGATTTATTGAGATGAAACACTAAAACTCTCTCCAATTTTATCCTTGAGAATAATATTTGGTACCACTGTGCGACAATGAAGAGGAGCCCCGAAATATGAGTCAGCAGTTCAAGCGACGCGTTCACGGGCAAGGTCAAGCCCGCGACATGGACCCGCGTTTCAGTGTTGCCGTGGACGTAGAGACTTGGTGTTGGGCTAATTTTAAATGTTTTGGCCAATTTTGGTTTTAAAACACAATCTTTTGACTATCCAAATGGACTCATTCAGCGCTGTGTTCAGTATAATATTACATTTTTGAAAAAAATTGAGACATTTTTCCATTAAAAGGCGTATTAGAATTTCAATGCTGCTAAGATCGTACAGCGTAGTTCTCTAGTTGTAAGTAACGTCTCCGATAGCTCAGCCGGCTGATTATTGAAATTGATAGACAAAGTGATAGACAAAGAAGACATAGGGAGTATGTAACGAGCCCATTGGTTGAGATGGGTGGTTCTTATAGACTAAGGGAGAAAATGATGGACTAAGTAAAGGGTCTCTTGTCGGTAGCCGTTAGTTAGTCTATTACCTTCATCTTGTGTCTTCTTTGTCTATAGCTTTTTCTATCAATTTCAATAATCGGTCCGCTGCTATGAATTTCTCTCTGAATCTACTCCGAGTTTTTCCTCACCAATGTAGGAGAGAAAGACGACTGTGAATGAATTTCATATGCCGCAAACGCTATAAAAATTTCACAATCTTAGCAATATTGCAAGTCTTCTAGGTCCTTTTACCGAGAAGGTTCTCAACTGCCTCTTACGATGAGAGTCATCATTGATATGATCGGCTTATTCCCTCATACCGTCACCTATTTTTTATAACGAGGCACCCATTCCCAATTGAAACAGTGAGAACGAAAACACACATCTCGAAAAACCGAAAATAACGAGGACACACACAAAACTGCACGCAGTAGGTAAAGAAGTAAGTCCAAGAAAAAAATTTTTGGTGCCGAGAGACAAGTACTTAAGGGAACTTTAAACGCCCAAGTTGGAACAGATTCGCTATTTTCAATGACCTTTCAGTAAATTGATTGTCCTTAATGGACATTGAGGATTTTAGAGTTACCGAGTTGATTTGTTTTCGTTCTCACTGATTCAATTGTTTCCTTGAGTGTTCGTCTCGTTTGCCTTCTTTGATCAATAAAACCTTTAAAAATGCAATTATTTCAGTTTATAGCCCAGTAAAATCCTAAAATTCAGAAGCCATTTCAGTCTTTCCATTAGCCAAAAGTGAGTACCTCACATCTACGCTCGGGCCAGCCGTTTGAGATGCCTGCAAAGGTGTGAGAAAAATAAATTATGTACTTCCAATAAAAATGCCATAATATATTCCTCAAAGTACATGTATAAATGCAGGATTGAAGGTATTCAGTCATTCTATATCCTCGCGGTGAAGCCTATTGCACAATGACACAATCTTTTCAGAGAGGTAGAACATGGAATTTTCGACTAGCAAATTTCTTCATATTACAAATTGTATGGGGTGCTTCTCGGAGGAAATTTCATGATACATTAAATGAAACCACTTTTAAAACCTCAACGTTACGTATGATCATCGACATGAGCTTATAGATGTTTCCACATTTTGAAAGACTCCTCTCATTACCCCTGCGCCACTGAGCGCCGCGCCGTTGAGGTGGTTAGTGTCTGATGTCAAAACGCCTTCACTTTTGTGTGTATGCAACAAGGACATCCATGGAGTTCGAATAGTTGCATCCAGGAGTTGTAATGAAATTTGTTTAGCATTCGTCGCAAGTGACTCTACTTGAAGCATTGATTCAACTCCACTTAATTTTGGCATTGCCTAGTGTGTCGATGAAGTAAAGTAATATTGATTTTTATCCGGACATAGTTTATTTTTAGGGACTGCATTGATCAGATTTTAATATTTTTTTTTTTTTTTTTTTTTTTTTTTTTTTTTTTTTTTTTAAGGAAGGGGGAATTATTGTTTCCTCTGTCTTATACGTTTAACGGTAAGTCTTGCTGAGGCCGCGCCGGCGGCCGTCTCGCCTTCATCTCACTCATAAACATTGGCACTCAAGAAATGTCTCAAATTGTAACTTTTCTCTTTTTCTTCTTTTTTTGCAAACTTCAAATAGCCCCTATCGGCTAATCCCACGATTACGACCAGCCTCAGGTGACCATTGTCTGAGACCATCAAACTCAGGTCACCTGCCAAGGAATCGAACCCGGGACCCGGGAACTGAGGGGGATTAATATTAAACATTTTAGAGCAAGGCTTCCATACCCCTTCTATTTCTACATTTCACCCCCTTTCCCCCCGTAGATACGTTTTGGGGGGGGGGGCTCCCACCCAGACTGCTTTTAGGGGCCCGAATTTCCAAATCCAGTGCTCACGATTGAATTTCTCCACGCTGTGAATGATATGCGTGATCCACGCGGCGACAACCGGCGAATATCAGCGAAAGCCGCGTACCGTCCGCGAAGTCTGTGTGTGGATCGGCGCGGCGGGCAGTTCAGTTTGTTTGTTGTCGTCAGCTGGGAGAGAGGTTCGTGCCGCTTTCATCGCGAGTCCCAAGTCGAGCTCAGTTCGAAAACCGGAGCCGATCGCGATCGCTCAGTCAGCTGACCCGGCCGTTCCACGCGTAGTGTGTAAACCCAACAACAGTGCGTCCTAGTTCGTTCCTAACCTTTCGTCACCGTTATCAACACAATTTATCACAAAGGATCATAACTGCTTATCAAGGTAATTCAACCTACCCTCATTATCCATGTGGTCCACTCTCTGGGATCGTCTAAGAGATGCGCGTCACGATGATGATAAACTCACTAATTGTGAAATAAATTATTGATAGAGTACGGTCAATGGAGAACCCATCCAAGTTTGACTCACCTATTCTTCAATCTTATGCGTTTTTTTTTTATTTTTAATTTTTTTTCCCCTTCATTAAAGTATTTTGTGAAGCGGAATTGGGCACGCCGCAAGTGACCCAATGCATCAAGGGATGGGTCAAAATATTTTGAAAAGAAAAGTGCAATTTTTACCAGATGTGCCGGCATAATCGGTAGAACTTTCCAGTGCGACAATATCCCGCGCGGAAAATAACTTCTAATCAAAGGACATTTAATTTCGAGTGAAAGATAAAAGACTCATCAGGTACCAAAACAATATGAAAATGCGTTGCATCTAAAAGCGAAATTTTAAAATCCCGAGCTAGGATATACACCGAGAATGAAAAAAAATGTGTTAAATTTGAGCGAGGTAAACCTTTCTTCACTAGGTAATATATTTAACTTTTTACGGCCATGTTTTGATTTTTTTTTTGTAAAGCGCTGCTTTACTTTCGAAAGTCTTGGTTGAGGAGGTTTAGGTGAGAGCAAAGGAATCAGGGAACAATGGCTGAAAAAAGTTAAACATATTGGTTTAACAATTAATATACTTTCAACCATCAAGGAATTTTACTCTCGGCGTGTTTAATCCACTTTCCGTTTGACTTCAATCTATTTTTTAAAAATACCCAATTTTGGTGTAAAACCATGCAGAAACTAATCTACTTCATTTTTTTAGGTTTCAGCGGAAGGGAAAAAAAAACATTCTCGAACGACACCTATAGCTAGGCACGAGTTGCTCTTTTTTTCCTTTGAGAAAAAAAAGTGCAGCTCATCGTTTGGAAGATTCTACCAGCAGCAAAAAAAATATGTCATGACAAAAATTATAATAATAAAAAAAAACACGTGCCATCCTCTTGGACTTCTTTTTTCATAGATTTTGAGGAACTTCATGTTTATCAGCTTCAACATTGGAGATCGGGCTATCTTGTCTATTAACAGGCACCCCTGGTAAAAATTGGCTATAATAGCTACGTTTCAAAATACCATAGGAATTCTTATAGCCGGCTAAAGAAGGCTACAGAAAATCATATAGCTGGCTGTAGAATGCGTAGAAAATCGTACGGCCGGGCTATACGAAGCGATAAAAAATTATGCAGTCGGGCTATAATTCCTATCGCCGGGCTTTACACTTTATCGCCTGGCTGTTATTGCTTTTTCACCATCGATTATAAAAGGCTATTAGAAATTGTGTAGAAATTCGTGTGCTTTGGAAATCATTAAGTTTGATACGGGACTACCTTACACACATATTTTCCTTTAATACATATTTGTTTTCATCAATTAAAATGAGAACAATCCATACAGGATGTGCATTGTGCAAACATTTCAAGATCATGAGTTGAATAACGCTGACTCCGCCAGATTATAAATTAGAGCCTAACACAAAGCGGAGCGGCGACGCACTGGCGCCTACAAACCTAACAGGGATACTTCACGCACTGCGCAACGCGTGAAGTATCCCTGTTAGGTTTGTAGGCGCCAATGCGCTTTTCGCGATGGCTGCCCGCCTGCCGCGCCGCAGCGTGCCACAGCGCTTGAAGCAACTATTTCACACCAGAGGTATTGCACAGTATCATACAAAACTAAACTCGCTCTAATATATTAGGAATGGCAGGCATCCATCAAAAGTACGGAGCTTTCCTCGCAAAATGAATCAAGAAACTACGGCCCAAAAAGAGAGCGTTAGTCTAAAAACTCACTAAGTCCTAGCATCCGTAATTAGTAACGTGTAGCATACACTTTATCGCCTGGCTGTTGCTTAATCGCCATCGGCTATAAAAGACTATAAGAAATTGTGTAGCCGGCTATAGAAGCTTATGGTATTTTGGAATACAGATTCTACTGCCAATTTTTACCAGGGCACGTCCGAAATTGCTGTTCTTAATTTGCGAAAATTAACGACTGAAAACCATATGTTGGAGACGTCGCGCAAGATTTTGGAAGCTCCAAGTTATTTATTCATTCCGAATTTTTAATCGTGCACGGATTTTGGCAACATGAAAATAAAGATCAAATATCAATTTAGTCTTAATCCAGTCATGGAGGATGCGCTAATCAATTGCGTGCGTTTAGTAGCTGGCCCAAACTTGCAACGTGAACCATGTAGAATTTCCGCTTGGTCCGCTTGTCCCCATTTTGATGAACAAATGTGATATCAATCAATGAGACTTGTTCGTAAGGATGCAACTACATTTATCAACACACGGGAGCTGTTCTTGGCCCGTCGTCGTTTAAATAAGGGCGAAAACACTATGGTTTAAAGCGTTGATCCAAGTACACACCAGAGCTTAGTTCGCCTTCATTTTAATGCTTAGGCACAAACGCATCCCAGGTGTTAGAATAGTCGCATCCATAGCTTGGTTTGCCTACATTTACATGATTGTTGCCTTTTCCATCGACAATTGCATTTTTATCAGGACATTCTTGGGCATTTTCAACTATATATTTCACCGATTTTCTCTCTTACCCCATGCAAAAATCAGACAATTTTGACTAAAAATGCGCATGTATACTCTTTAGTAAAAATTGAATCGTTTGAGTCTATTTCCAACCTCGGAATGGAGTTATGTTCCTTCGTGCAGGAAACGACAAATAATAACACATCCCTCAGTACGGCCATGCTAAGGAAAAACGCTGTATGAGCCTTTAGACGTTGCCATATTTACTTCAATGAAAACCGAGTTTTCTTGGAAAATTGCGATTATCAAAGTGCGTTTTCTCAAAATTACCGCGGACGTTTTAATTTAGTATGAATGAATAACCATCAAAATCAAAATCTAGATAAATTGCACGAGATAAAAAAATTTATATTTTTATGCCTAAGATTTTAATTTGCGAACTGTATCGTTTTCTGCCGGAACCCATGTTTTCCTCAGACCGCCGAGGAAACGGTTATCTTGTTCCGATGAATTCGATTTTATCAGTGCGGCTCGGCGTTTCAGTGAAGTAGATGGAAAAGAGTTTCCTCGGAAAATTAAGCTTTCCTGCCGAACTTGTACTTCCTACTAATTTTCTGCATCATCATGCAATGATCGACGAATTCACAAACCGGTAGACATGTTGGTCGGAGCTGCTTAAGGTGACCGGGGAATAATCCTCTCTTTCGATCCAGTAATCAACAGTGGCGGGGCGTACCTTGCGATATATCGATTGATTTGCCGTTTAAACCCATGGAAAAGTATCGATATGCGGGTGTTTGTGACGAATATCCTAATAATCGATTCCTTACCATAGTTCCCAATGGGGAAAGTCGATAATCGATCACTTATGCTGGTAAAAAATTCTCCTTGCCGAGTCTTATTCACATAATGTACATAAATGTGGTCCGTGATATCGCGCCTCGACGAATCGATTCACACCAATATTTGTCGCATAGAAATTCGTCCCAGTCGATGTCACTTTTTTACGGAAGAAGGCACTTTTTATTTTGATATTTTCTCCCACTTTGTGACATCATAACTTACAACCGCAGCCCATAAGTAAAGTACCTCCTCCATATCATCGGAAATCGTATGAGCACAGGCCACGCGTATCAGCCCTGAATTTCTTCTTTTCACTGCTCTGCCGTGCTAAGGAAAAACGCCTTATGAACATTCAAGAGTAGTCAAATTTCCCTTGATAAAACATATATTTTTAACAACATTTATGCTTATTTTTCCCTGAAATTTTCAGAAATTTTAGATTTAAGGGCTTCATATTTTGAACCCGATCAACTTTTTTATAGCTGTAAGTGCATTCATGATACACTTTTATCTGCATTCAAATGATCCGTGATATCCTTCAATAATGAAACATGCTAATGACAACACTAAGTTAAACTATAATTCTCGAAATACTTTAAAAGAATGACGATCCTTTTGCGAAGATACTCGAATGATGATACTTTCTAGCATTTTTCTATAATTTGGCGGGATTGATAAAAGAGAAATAAAAATATGCTCCGAGAAAAAACATATTTTAGCAGGTCATAAAGAGGGCTGAACTCGGATTAAATTTCTCCGGAATTTCTCCTCGGCATCCACCGAATCAAAGGTTGATGATTTTATGGAGGTCAAAGGCATTAGTTTATACGTGGACCCGCTGGTCCGATGTTTTTTTGTCGTCGAAATCGGTCGTCGTGGATCTCTTAATTATTAAGATTCCTCATTCTCTCCGTTTTCAGTTTTTCGCTTTAAAATCCAACAGGTTTGCGTTTTTCCTTTTCCTCGGAAAGGGCGAGGAAAAAGGAGCCAATAGAGGGAGCAAAAAACTATAAATGACAGGCTCGGCATTCCATTCGTGAGTGCAAAGGTTTCGATGCCTTTAAAAGTTCACCGTAACAAAATTTTCGGATTTTTTCAATTTTCGTAAAATTTTGTCCTCACATAATAATTTTTCAACACCGGACTAACATTATTGATTCAATACTTACTAGCAGGCCATCACATTGCTCGTATTATTTGCCAGAGGCAATTTTTCTCATGATAAAATATACATACGACTTGATAAGATGTTACCTTTATTTTCATTCAACTTCCTTCATTTTTTGTGCGTGATAGCATTCAAAATCAAGTGAAATTGGATTATATGCCTTAAAGAAAGTTGAATGAAATGTTTTACCTTGTAAATTAGGTTTGTATTCATTACAGCCGCAACAGCGCTTAAACATGCAAATCTTATTTGAACCATTTTTGCATGGCCCCATAATCACCTATGGTAAAGGCTTTAATCTGTTTCGCGAGCGCGAGATCTTTGTTGGAATTCCTTTCGCAACGGGAAGTTGAGTAAATAATTTGTTCCTTTTGTTTCTTTTTTTTTTCATTTTTGTTTTTGGAGATTTGTCTACAGCATTCGTACGTCACAATATTTACACTC